TCATTTTTGGTGATTGTTTCTTTGTTATTGAAGAATGCTATGTGTTTGCTTCCATTTAAGCCACTTGGTTAAGCCTAAACATCAGAGAGAAAGCAAGAATAATGTATTCATGTACATGAAAAGAAGTCGTCATGCTTAGACTTCTGTTACATTCATCTTGGAAAAATGTGTGTGGTTTTACAGTCATACTTGAGTCACTGAACAGTTGGAATAACAATTGCATTGAATATAACTGATAATATTTGACTTCCTTTGCCAATTAAGAAAGCACATGCCAAGGAACAACCGGTGAAATTTCACAGTCCACAAGGAAAAGATAAATAATTATTGTATACATGGAACTATATGACAAAAAATGTCTTGCATCACACACTTATCTACAATTGACCCCAAAATTTAAGTGATAGAATTATGCACTTTTAAATTTTATCTGTGTGAAATTTTCCCTTTTTTGGAATGTTATAGGATATGAATTTGATATATCAACTCTTACATGAAGAGTTGATAGCAGTAGTCACAGTGATCTTTATTTTTTTTAATTGAAGTTGAATCAGTATAGACTGTTGACAGAAAGACGAGAAAAGCAGTGTTTCATTGCCAAGGGGAGTAAAGGAGCAGTGATCAACACTGGAGCGTACAACCTGGATGAAAAATATAGTAGTGTGACAAAGGTCTTCAAGTTCTCAAATGTAGTTATGATTCTGAGTCAAAAATACTAGAAAGATAATGAAAATTCCTTGTCATAAAAAAAATAATGGCTTGTCTCTTGACCCTGACAGATATGCGCATGTCATGGAATTCTTATGAGCTAAATAAGATCAGAAAGCTATAAATATGCTTCTGGTTTTTGTATGACTGATGTTTGCATTGATGCATCAATGTAGGTCACAAAATAATCTTTGATCTGGACTTTTTTTTTTAAATATTGAATTGCATAATGCTATAAACATTCAGTGAAGAAATATACCTAAAAACAGAGGTATGAAATCTTTGTAGTTCTGTGAGGGACTGTCAAACTATTTCAGATTTGCTGAACTATGACATTTTATACATGCTGCTTGCATCATTACACAATTACACACGCTTCCCCCATGACAGCATTGTGTGTTAGAAGCATAAGCAAACTGCATACAAACAGTTTCTTGTGCTGTTCACAATATCTGAATTAGGATTTATGTGACAGTGTTTCAAATTGATCATTCACTCCAATGGCTTCATAAATGCTCATATTCTCTAGATGTTTTAAACTTCTTCACTCACAGTTATGCAAATATGCTGTAGGTATGTACAGTAAAACCATATTTTTATAAGGCAAAAGTATCTGTAAGGTATTACTATACTCCTGATTAATTCAGGTATTTAATCACTAGGTTATACTTTAGTTGTGTTTTTCTTATTTATTTATTAATGGACTGAAACACTGCATTAGGTTGACAATTGAAACTTGGATATTATTTTTCAGGAAAATCAAATGTCAACGATCTCTGCATATTTCACACACACAAAAAAATGCTAACTATACAGCTAAGCCTAGATCATAATAATGCCAAAATATTATAATGCCAAAATCGCTATGAAATAAAATACTTCATATTCTACTTCATAGAAGTGTTTCTAAAAGAAATGTGACTGTTACTGCAGGGAGCAAGTTTCCTTTTTCAGAAACAGGTTTATAAGAGCCATACTTTGGATTTGCTATGTGTTTGCTAAAGCAACTGGCCACAAGATGTTTTTAATAAAAAAAAGAATTTTCTTCCTCCCACCCTCCTCCTCCCCAACAATAAAAGCCACTAAGGGTTTCATGGGAGAAGGTCTACCAGGCAGCATAGGACTTTCTCTGATATTTTCCATTGCATTGTGTCAGACAAGGCAGAGAAGAAAGGTCTGCACCGGGCGGAGAAGAACAGCTGTTCATGCAGTGGTATGGAAGGGTCCAGACCTTCCCAAGTGGGGGCTTGGGGTAAAGAGCTGCCGTGCTCTTGGCTGCAGGAGTCACTGCGGGGGACAGAGCGCAGCTCTCCCTTCCCCTGCCCACCTCGGTGGTGCTTGCAGCTTCTTCCTGGAAGTGCATCTTCTCTCTTTGTTCTGACCAGACATGGGCAGGTACAAGCAGCAGAAGTGAAAAGAAAACTTTTACCCTTTGTAATGCATTATATGTCTGAATGCTTTCCAGCTCACACTTAGTGCAAGCGTCAGAGGAGCAACTGTGACTTGGATGTAGGCTCTCAAGACTAAAAACTGGTCTTTAGTTCTTCCACCCACTTTCATGTTTGGTGAAAGACAACTGTGAGTCAAAGTCAAAATATCCATTTTTACCTAATCTGCTGAAAAATGTTTTCCTTAGCTCTGTTTGACATCAGTATCAAGGCTTGCTAGCACTTTACACAGCGTGGTGTCAAGTGGTATGTCACTGGCATCATTTATTAAACTCTTCCCTTTACTTAAGAGTTATCTAAAGTAGTACATTTGGTTTCAGTTCAACATATCACTGAAATCAAAGGTCACAACAAAACACATAATAAAAAATGACATCTGAAACAAAAAAAAATGGAGCTGTTCTTTATAATGCCATTTGAATGGCAAATTAGAGAGCAGTATTGTTGTAACTTCATTCAGAATACATCCACCATCTCTTCACAAGAACATATATAAAAAAGCCACAATTTGGCTATCAGATTCTAAATCATACATGGTGCTTGACACATGCCTAAATCATATCTCTCTGTTATTTGATGTTTCATGGCCAAAATGGCGTGAAATCAGTAAAATCTGATGCATAACGTACTGCAAAAAGAAAAGTAAGACACACAGGTTATAGGGCAGAAAATGAAATAGCTACATACATATAGGATCTGTGCATTTTAGTACCCATGTTTTGTGTAATAAAGCTGGCAAGAGTGGTCCAGGAGGGTACCCCTCCTACCTTCCAGCACAGTCTGCAACACGGTGATGAATCTGACACGAAGATAGTTACAAGAATAGCTTAGAGATCCTGGCTAAAGTGTCACTAAAATCTGGGGATCGAGTTCTCCATCTGGCGTGGTGTGTTTACCGCCTGGAACTTGTGATTTACTCCCATGTTTTGGTGTGGGTAGTGCTCTAAATGGTTTCTGATACCAGTGCTGACTGTGAATTGCCGTGCGTGGAGGGTGCAGTGATCATCTGTTCTGTCTGTACGGGATTTTGTGTGATACCCAGGAAAATCTTTCAAAAAGTGAATAACCTCTGTTGGTAATACCAGAGAACATGCCTTGCAGCCTCGCTGTAAAGATAAATTCCATAGGTTCTGCCATATTGTTCTCCAGACTAGAGCAGGATTAAGTTAGTGCCAGAGCTCAGTGAATTAGAGTAAACCACGGTTTGTTGGCGACTGCTGTCCCATGATAATGGTTTCTCTGGAAGTGTGTGCTGAGTGTTGTAGTCATTTCAGCCCTCTGGGGATGTCTGCTGTGCACTAGAGCTTTGGGGTCTTAATGTGATTCGAGCAGTGTGTTTTCAGTCTCTTTCCCACGCCCGGTTCTGATGTCTGTTCATATACCTAAAGACTTTTTTTTTTTTTTTTAACCAGGGTTGGACATAAAGGGTGAAGAAACTACAAAATTGATTTCACATAGGCAGGTTCATCATGCCAGATTTCCCATAAAAAGAAGCCACATTAATAAGTTTTCTGGCTCTTGAAAATACTGGCTTTTTTATCTTTCATAGTGAAAGTGATTGATGCAAGCCCTAGTGCTATCTTTGGAGTGTTACTACGCCCTGTCTTGTGAACCAGTCATTTATAATTATTGCTCCCACATTCTTCCGTCCCCCTCCCTTACAATAGTGATCACTTGGTTTGGCAGCAGTTTGCAATTTTGTATAATGAATTAAGAAAATTTTCACAAATGGTCTCTTTATGAAGCTGCTAACAGAGGCATTTGGAAAAACAGGCATGGAATTAATAATTTTGGAATTATTAATAAAAAAAAGGAGGAGAAAAGGTGTGCCTGTTTGGGGGAATCATCTACTATGACCAACTTCCTTTCAATTTATGCTTTGAAATTCTAATGTAACTTTGTATCTCACCAGTTTCTAATTATTTCTGAATTTGTTAAATACTTAGCCATTTGATCTGCCCTTGCATTTTCTGAAATGTACTTTTGTAGTTTCTTTCCTTTCAGAAATCTCTGTCCTGCTACTTCTGCAGCGAAGGTCCATTACTCTACACAGTTGTACTTCAAGAAAAAAACAAGAAACTTTGACAGACAGTCCCAGTTTCTGTCTAAAAACCTTGAATATCTCAAAAATGTCACATTTGTCCAGCATATCTCGTAGCAAACTTAGTGGGCTGGCTTTATTTTCTGTTTAAAATGCAGACCATATAAGTAAATTTCTACTATTAATCTGAAATATTTCCATAATATTTTATCCCTGCTTGATATGAGGTGTTGGTGTACCAGATTGGACTATGTACAAATAGGTGCGTTTATAATTTTCTCTGTGCCTGTAAAAAGCTACAGCTACGAAGGCCTGACAGAAGGAATACCTGCTTCCAGATCTCTCTTGGTTGCATGTAAAGTCCACTTAAAATTATCAGTCCAAAGGGAGAATAGAATTTAGACCTTGTTGTTAAATTTTCCTCTGTGATTTGAAACCGGTTCAATTTTTTCTAAGTTAATAATGCAAATTCCACTTGATCCTATCTGCGTAATGATGTGACATAATCAGAAATCATGACATATTTAATTCCAATATATGCAAAGTAGGCATGATTATCAGCAGAAGAAAGCACAGTGCTGTTAGTTTATTCCATATCAGACAACTGACACTATCAGGTCTGAATAATAAGGGCTCATATAATCGAAAATTGCACAGTTCCAAAATACCAACCAAAAAACCCAGAATTAAGAATTTCCCCTTATGACAGAGAAAACCTAAGAAGCATCACAGCTACACCGGACTGTGCTGCCAGGGTGAGGGGTGCTTCTCCTTGGACTGTTTTGCCCTGTGTCTCTGTGCAGGGAGCTGGGGTGGCTGTTCCTCCGGCCAGGAGCCCGACCGCCACTCCCCCGTGCTGTGCCAAGCGAAGTGGAGAAGGGCAGTTGTCCACGGGACAGTGCAGAGGAGGCAGCACCGTGCTTGCCCTTGGTTTAGTGAATGAAGGTGGTTCCAAACAGGATGGCCCACAGGAGATACCTAGATGCGAGGAGCCTCCAGGAGAAGAGACGGGAGGAGATGGTGGAGAAGCACAGAGGGGTGTAGAGGGGGAAAAGGATGTTGCCCTGCACAAAAGAAATATCCTCTGATGTTTTGCCTTCTGAGTGTTCCAGTGAGCAGACTGCTTGTTTCCCTTCTTCAGCAAAGGGAAGCTTCCCTTCTTTTGCCTCTGAGAAAGTGACGAGTTTGGCTCAGCAGAAGAGGAGGTAGACAAAAGAGCTGATCAGCAATGTTTTCTCATCTCAAACCTGGCTCTTCTCTTGTTCCATTTCTCCAAAATAGTGCCTGGAGGAAGGCTGGAGGGTGGTTGAAACCAGGACCTCAACAAAGGCGTTCTAGCAAAGGCTGCCTGTGGGGCTGCATTACGCAGGGGGATAAAGAGGGACTTGTGAATAACTGCAGAGCTGGAAGAGGAGATGAAATGTGAACAGTGGTGTATAATTGGTCCATTTAAATGTTTAGGCTTGGAGAACATATGAAGTCCCCAGTCCCTCAGGCCCTTTCATACAATTACATACAACTTGATTGTAATTGCTTCATCAACTCAGCACCCACACAGTGGCTAGCAAAACCACCTCATTGTAATGAAAGAGAAGACAATGTTATAGCTGTCATAAATTTCTGGGGTAAAATGAGCCAGTTAGAAATCAAGTAGTTCAGACCAAATTTAGATTCAGTGCAAAACTCCTACATGTGCATTTTAACCTCACCATTTTTTATTTGAGAGCAATGAGATCTGTCTTAATGTGAAGGTTGTTTTCTTTCTTTAATTTGAGGAGCCAGAATTAATGTTACACTTTCTTAGAAGCCAAAAACAGGTTTACTGGTTTAAAAGATAAATAGACTGCCAGCAATGAATAGCAGAAAAATACTTCCTGTATATTCTACTCTCCAGTTACGTATATGAGCCTATAGAGTTTTGTGATACCATGTTTCATTATGATTTGTTAAGCTACATTTGACATAAATTAGAAGTTCATATAGGTGCATTGCTGTTCTGTCAGATTTTGATTAAAACAGCTTGATTTTTACAGCAGTTCTTTACAATTAGTATTATAAGCTCTTTAGAGCACTGGAGTGAAATACTGCGGTTATGCTAGATACTTCTGTGAAAGCATTACCACGGTGCTCAGCAGCGGTGGTGGAGAAAACCAAATCAATTTTTAATAGGAATTATTAGGAAAGGAATAGATAGCAAAACAGCAAATGTCCTTTTGCAAATGTCCTTTTACCAATCTGTAATTCACCTTTGGTGCACAGTTCTGGTTCCTTCCAGAAGGAAGGATAAAATTAACTGGAAAAGGTTTGGAGAAGGGCAGCAAGGATGATAAAATGTAACAAATGGTTTCTATGTGAGGAAATACTTGGTAAATAGTTAAACTGGGGAAAAAAAATAATTAAGAATGTATCTTGAAAACCATGACTGGTACGAAGAGGATGGATGGGAATTGACGGTTCACTGCCTGTCTCTGTATTAAACATCATGGGAACGTGTGAGGAGTCATGTTGAAAACAAACAGAAGGAACTGATTCCCCCTGTGGCAGGGAGAGGGCGTTAAGGATGCTGAAATCAGCAGACAAGTTTGTGGAGGAAAGCCCATGGAGGGCTACAGAACATGTAGAAATCACAATGCAGGAAGTCCATGAGCAGAAAATAGTTGCTAGCTGAGAAACTATTCGGAAAAAGCATTATATACATTTGAAATGTTTTCCCTTTTCTCTAGCACCTATTTATGGCACTTGTAGAGACAGGATAGTGGGCTAGATGAACCCATCGTCTGCTCAAGTAGGATTTTCTTGCTAGAAAAGGTTTATTTACTTATTTAAACAACTTCAACCTCAGAGCAGATTTGGTGAAATCATAAATATTTCTCTAAAGAAACATTATGAATGAAGTCAGTAGGCTTAATTTTTCCCCTCATATGCCAGCGCCCATAAGAAAGAAATAGGGGAACTTTTTGGAAGTGTTCTTTACCATATATCCTTCATTTTCATAAGCTTTTCTTTAAAATTTTCCCCTTGCATTTCTACTGATCTTGAAGAGGTCTGTAGGAGCCTGGATGTCTACATCAGTTCTTGGATCTAATCACACTCCTTAGTTCTTTTTGAAATTTCTGATAACTTTCCAGTTAACTTACCGATAGAGTGCATGGTAACGACTGGTCAGGTATGCTTGCTCTGTGTAATGTTTCGAAAATGTATAAAGCATAAATACAAATTTGCATAGCAGCATTAACAGAGACATACAGTTCTCATTTCTGCTACCTTGCAATAAGAAAAACATCAGTTATAATGCTTAAAATCATAAACTATTGAGTGAAAAGTCACTGATTATTTTTAAATTTTTCTAATTCTTCTAAGTACAGTATAAAAATTACATCTGGTAAACAATGCTAACAGATAAATTCTGTAGTGTAGTGTGGTAATAAATAACTGCATTCTGTGCCGCCCTACTCTATACTGAATACAGCTTGATTTTCAAGACAATTCAATATTGTTCTTTGAACAACTCTGATGATGAAGTGTTTTGGAAATCAGTTAAAGAAGAACAAAATGTACAGAAGTACAGCTCTGGTGAGTAAAGGCCTGATGGCCAGCCTCTAAGATGCTACTAGTAATAAATGTCTGTTAGAAAATTAAACATTTTGGGACAGCCTAATGATCCCTATCTTAATGTCCAAAGAGGTCAATTCCTAATGTTTCAAGCAAGACATAAAAATGCTTATAATGTGGGCAACACTGGAAGGAGGGATAGAAATTCGGCTTGAGCACACCTATTAATAAGGTTATATTGAAGCGTTACCACCCTTTGTACTAATCTAGCTATAGAAATATACAGATACAGGATCTTTACTCAGAGACAATGGGATTGGCAAAAGTGCCCATTTGAACGCTAATCACATCAGCTGCAATAGCACTGATGCAGTTCAGTCACCAGATGCTCCTGCAAATCCTATCTGCAGTTTGCTTCAGTAATACTCCATTGCCTGTCCAGCTGCTCTGCCCCACTGCAAGGTAGAGAAAGGCTTTTAACAACACCTGTCTTGCCTCGATGAAACCTGTTTTATAACCTGGATACTTGTTGGAGATACACAGGGTTGGGAAGCAGAGGGTTAGAACTGCCTCCAGTTCTGCTCTGCTACTGAAATTGCAGGTTTCTAAAATTGTCACTCTTGGTGCTTCTTTTAAAATAATGTTAATTCAGAGGTCAGCAGTTAAGCATCATAATGTTTAACATTAACATAACACGTTAAAATCTGCCAGAATTATCTTCCTGAAAAAATTGTTCTTCATTAATTATTAATATTTGCTCTCTTTTTTTAAGAGGAGTCAGTACTGAGCTCATTGCTAACTGCTGCTTGAGAGTTCATTTCATTAACAGTGAGCTGGGTTGAAAATATAAATAATGTGTGTGTTTGTAGCATTAAATGCACAGCATCCACCTTTCTGAAAGCACTATTTTGCAGTTGCACCGTATTGAAAAAACCAGCTATCTCTGCTTATTGACCGTTTCTTTATTACTCCTCAAAATATAAGAGTGTCTATGGCACTGGTAGTTTCAGTGTCGGACAGTCATTATATTGACACATCTTTAAATGAACAAAATGAATTGCAAAGACAGTTGCAATTTCCTGCAGCATCAGTGGCATAGGCCAACTCAACCTAAGTCTCTTAGCTATAAAACATCCTTTGCAGTACTACCAGGTGACATATGCAAATGAGTATGACCATTGTTGCTTGCATTGATTTTTTAAGATGAAAGATGTGGCCCCTGCCCCAGGTTACGTTGCAAGCTGAAACCTGAATCCGGGAACAATCTCAGGTATCTTGTCAAATCCAAGCACTGAAGTTTCACTTCAAAGTCAGATTTGGATTTTTGCTCAGTTACTTCAATCATGTGAATCTTTCCTCTCATCCCCTCACTTTTTCTCCACCCTCTCAACCAAACCAAATTCCTTTATGTTAAAATGTAAGCAGTCTTTTCCTTCTGACTCCCCAGTCATGATTTTTTTGTCATTGAGCCGCTGCTCTCTTGACACTGCAACCTTCTCTACCTTTGCTGTTCTCCACAGACCATCTGTGGTCTCATCCTGTGCTAAAGACACCTCACAGGACATGCACATGGTCTCTGTTGTTCTGAACTGTGTGGTAGAGAAATCTTACAGGTTGTAGCTTTGCTGGAACAGAGTGTGTTTATTTATGCATACAGAGTGTGTACATGTACATACTTCATATATAAATTACATACAAAATACATGTATGCATTTCACACAAAAAACTCAGGGAACCAAGAGAGAAAAAAAAATCTCATTGATTAGCCAACCTAGCAGGAGCTTCTCAACCTGTGTGATGGTATAAAAAGTTTAGAAGTTGATGCATATACTCAGCCTTGCCCATCCTGGGGCCATCAGAGTTAAGGTGCATAAAGGATAGTTTGGTGCTTCTGTGTTCATCAGTGCCAAGGGTGGGCAGAATGTTTTCCATGCATTAGACTCAGCCGTGTAAAAAAAGGAAAAGAGCTTATGTAGGGGTATGTAGGAGTAGACAGGGATTCATCCCACCTTGGGGCGAGGAGGAAAGAGTAAAAATATTTTATATTTTGAAAACTCTTCAAGTAAGGAATTGAATACATCCAATTGCTATGCACTAAAAAAATCTAAGTGTTGTTCATACGCAAAGATTGTTCTTCAGTGTAGATATCAGGAGGGTACAGTAAAGAAATAGTCCCCAAGTTTACAAACGTTCAAGTTGTGTTTTAAGTTACTAACTTCTAATGAAGATGACAACAATGCAGTTGCTTGTTTCTGAAAGACAAAGGTTTGTGTTTATGACTTTCTGAAAAGTTACATTCACTACGCAGCAACTGTGGCGAGAAACAGTGACAAACCCCAGCTTCTTTGGAAAAATGCCATTGTTGATTAATTGCAATATATTTCAACTGTGTATAGATTTCTCACAGTTACCCAGTAAATACACTGGTTTCATTCTTTGGAGATTAACAATCTCTCTTGTGTGCTCAGGTTCTTTCCAGCCTGGTACACTGTTTCTTTTGAAGGATTTGTTTTCCTGAGTTGAACTTAAGAACTCAGAGCACCTTATCACACTTTCATAAGCTCTTTCTCCAAAGGGGAAGGAAGAGGGGGGAAAAAAAGCCCATCGAGGCTTGTGCCAGCTAAATTCAAGCCCTCGGGGGATTTGTTTTCCTTTGGGCGTCAGATTAGATGTTCAAACCAAGCAGTGTTGTGGGGCTGCGGGTGGGTGTCCCACCAAACCCTTAATGAGGCTAATCCCACCGCAGCACATTCCAAGCAGCTAATGGGTGCACCGGCTCCCGCACACATCCCTGCGCTGCGGATGGACTGAGCGCCCGGTTTGGGGGGCGGTCGCCAATGTGGTGTTAGTGATGACCGGCAGCAGGGAAACGTGGACAGCAGCGCTTGCTCCGGGACAGACTTAGACGCCAAGTTTGATGCTCAGGTAAAGAAGGGGGAGGAAGTATGTTCTTGGTGGAATTTTGCAGCTAGGTTAATTAAGAGAGAGACTAAACTGAGAGATCTAAGCTCTGAGTAAACTAAATGCAAGTCTAAGTATGGCACGTACTTTAGGAATTCACTGTAGACTTTAAATTGTCTTGTGAATTAATATTGAAGGATTGTTTATGAAATAAGAGAAAGACAAGCTTCTTGCTCTACTCTTCTTGAAAATACTTTGCTATACTTTTCTAAACTTTTCTACTATTTTATTAATTCACGTTATAAACAAGGGTTTAATGCAGGCTGTTTTGTTATGAATGTGTTGATTTCCTCAAGTTATTCTAATTTTGTTATGAAGACTCTATGGCAAGTAACAATTTATTAGACTTCTGAACCTTGTATTCCATTGCAAATTATCTCTGTCACAGAAAGATAACTGGCACGGGGCAGTGAAACCAGACACTTTATTTTTAGTTTGGAAGGACAAGGAATTATGAAACAAGTAAATCATGTATTTTGGTATTAAGACTCTGTCGGATAGGATAGTATATTGTTTGATATCTAAAATCTGGAAAGTCTTTTTTCCCAATGTGAATTAAAGACTTTTAATATGAGACTATTATTTTTGCAGTATTACATTTGAAGCAGTATGATGAAAATTCAAATGAAAATTATTATTATATTTAACATAGCTGGGTTTCTTTTCTACTTGGAAAGACAGTATGAAAAAGAGTAGAAAAACAAATTTGAAATATCAGTTTCTTGGTTTTTGAAAGCCTGCTTTTATACCTAAAGAAAAAAGTTTTCAGTGAAGTACCTGTTATGGCACCTTTTTGTATGGGATCTTGAGGCTTAGAGAAATTGAATTAGTGGCCATCTTTAGAAGAGGTACATTAGATCTATGTAGTAAGTAAATTTACCACGGTAAATTGTTTGCAGAAAAGTGTGCCAAAATTTATGCAATTTAATAAAGGATATTTTTACGGAGTCTTAGCAACATGAATGATAATCATATGCTATGTAAGCTCTGCAGTAGAAGCTGCTTTTGGATGCCAGGAAGAAAAGTTGGCTTATAAAGGCTCTTCATGCTTTCTAGAGAAGATAAAGGATGTTGTAGGAATGTATTTAGTGTTAAAACAAACAAGCATGAAGATAAAACTGACGGTATTCTATTGGTGTTCCTTTTTTCTTAAAAAGTTACTCGACATATATGTATACACAGCAAAGGGGATTCATAAACCTGCAGCTTCTTATCAGTGTGTGTCTTCTTAAGGCAATATAGAAAGTTTGTGTACTCTTGGGGCTTGAAGAGGAGAAATACCAAGAATTTGTGGTCCAGACAGTAGAGTATGTAATTTCAAATGTTAGCATTGCAATACCTGAATAGTAACTTCCTTCCTTTCTCTACAACACTCAACAAAACGAAAAACCTTGATTTTCCCACGTAGCTTAGCTTCAAAAATTCTGCAGTAAGAGAGTCAAATGAAGTTCATAAAGTTCACTCTGGATGCCATGAGAGTTCCAGAAAGTTAGTTTATAAGTCTTTCTTTGTCTGAAAAGACTACTAAATTGAGAAATTACTCAGTAATGCACTAGACTTCTAAGCAGACTTGAGTGTATAATATACAATGTTGTGACGATGATGATGATTATTACTACTATAATTGCCTGCATCATAGGTTTGTAAACATTTAGAAGTTATCATAAATTAGAACTTCAAGGTAATCTCTCCTATGTAAGGAAAACTTTTTTAGATTTTTCAGAATTTCTACACTTAACTGTCCTTTGCTTAAACTTGAAACAGACCTTGCCCCACATTCTATAGTATATTAACTTTCTGTTTGCTACAGTAAGGAAGAACAATGAAATACAGTTCTATTTAATGTTTTTAATAGACTTCTTTTTCCTGACTGTAAAAGTGATGTTAGGGTGTCTGCCATTCCTACAAAATAGGAAGTCTAGCAGATTTTGCAAATAAAAATGCAAGTAGAAGAAAGATAAAATATTGTTACATAACATGAGTGACCACTAGATCCACTAAGGGATTATCGTCTGTGTAAAAGGGCAAAAGAACAACTTTTTATGTACAGAGAGTGACAAGTAATGAATGTAGCTAGAAACTCTTATTATGGTATTTTATAGTTTATACTAGTGACATTCATTGACTTCAAGAAATTTTCACAGTTCACAATGATTTTCAAAAGTCCCAAAAACACAGGCTTCTGTGTTTAAACATGAAAAACAGGATGCAGACTTGAGTTGACAAAAAGGTAACATTAGATAGTTAGTAAGGTAACATTAGTTAGTAAAGTAATACTTAGGTTGCTATCTAACCTTACATAATGAAAGGTAACATTAGCTAGTTTAGTTTGGTAATGTTATAAATGCAATTTCATATTTTCTCCTTTTATAGAGGCAAGATGCCCAGATTTCCTTTAAAGCTCATGTCACATTACTTAACTCTCAGATAACTTTGTTGTAGTTCATAGTTTATAGGTCTGTTTATGCTGTGCAATTAAGAAGGTAATTTTGTTATTTAAATACATTTTATAAAATTTATCTGTTTAAAATGAATTTTTAAAGGAAAGTTTCAACTCATCTCCTTATTAAACAAAATAATTGAATTCTATCTTGGGGAATCTTTTAGAGAGCTTGCCAAAATTCATGTTGGATGGAGTGAGCACTGTCTAGGTAATTAAAAAGATTTAAGAGCCCTTAAAGTCTTTTATTTCTCGTTTTGTGTTTTTTTCTTTCCTACCCATCTACTTTTCTTTTAAAAAAGATCTCTTGTGTATCTGAAAATAAAGACTACACTGAGGGAAATTACTTGCTTTCCTGTGAGTATATGGGGGAAGATCTTGAGTGTTATGAACAGGTATATCTTCATTGAACTCAGTCAGTTTTACAGGTTACATCAGCTGGCTATTTGACTCTTAAAGTATCAAAATTTTTTGTCTCTCATTTCAGAAACAGATCTTTCTTTTTTCATTAAGATATCCACATATGAAACTATATTTTCTGGCTCCATGTTAAACAACACACTCAGTACTTGTATAAAAAATTGTATTTGAATCATGGTGTAGTAAGTTTTATTATAAGAGATTTATTTTCTGGTTTCTGTGATTATTTTTTTAATTAGAGATGACCTAGTTGTATTACTAAAATGGAAATAGATTTTTTAAAAGTATTTAATTAATAGATACGTTTTTTCTTTACCATGCAGAAGGTTTTACGGTTTGAATTAATTCTTCTCCAGTGATTCCTGCTATGAGAATGCAGACGACAGGATCAAAGTCATCTGGCTAGTGAATATGAAAGCAACCTTAAGAGCTTGTGTTAGGTGTTTAACTCTAGAAGGGAACCATAGTTTTAATGGAAAATGTTTGCTCTCTGCAAAATGTGCAGTGTGTATCTGCAAAATCAGTGAAGTTTTCTTTTACGTTTGAAGTTTCTCTTGAGTTGTACTACAAGTTTTTTTTTAATTAGCAAACAGAGCTCATGGCATTTCCTTTCTCTTTTTTAGGCACAGAAATCATGGATAGAAAGAGCATTTTACAAGAGAGAATGTGTTCATATCATACCCAGCACCAAAGACCCCCATAGGTAATTGTATGCTATCTGTATGAAAAATGAAAGTCAGTTACAAGAAAATGTCTCTACATATGTGTGCATACAGATGTATATAGATAAAAATAGTTTGTAAAGACTTGTTTGATCAGAAAGGTGTTGAATTACATCTGGAATGATGGATTCCTATGGGCATTATTTGTTTACATTTCAAAATTTATTTCATCCAAAAAAAAGATAAATCAAAGGTGGATGAGCATCTATGTTTAATTTCCTTATCTTCTTAGTTCAATATTCAGTGCCTTGAATATTTATCTAAATTGGATGGATAACACACAATACTGTCAGAAGAAAATAATTGCAGTGAACTACCAATTTAAAATATGTGCTAGTTCATGCAAAAGCTGATTATTTGGCCTAATGTCATCTGAAGAAAATAGAAAATGTTCCTTAACTTCATTTTGTACATATTTAGAACAAAGCATGATTTTATTGAAATATAGGAAAGTCCATAATAAACAAGTTCATAGAAAGAAAAGTTAATATCTGTGTTACATTGCTTCCACAAGTAGAGGCTTCAGATCGCAGAAGAGTGGTCAGCAGAGTTGAAAAGAGGGTTCTTTTGAAGATTTGTAGGCCATTTAAGATAGTTTGTTTCCGTTTGGTTTATACATGCACGTGACTCAAGTTTTCTGTTTGTTTGATGCCAGGTGTTGCTGTGGGCGTCTAATAGGTCAACATGTTGGACTGACTCCAAGCATCTCCATTATTCAGAATGAGAAGAATGAAGGCAGGCTTACTCGCAATGACATCCAGTCGGAGAAGTGGTCCATCAGTAAGCACACACAGCTCAGCCCAACGGACGCTTTTGGAACCATTGAGTTCCAAGGAGGAGGCCACTCCAATAAAGCCATGGTAACCATGTTTTTCTCTTAGATAAACAATGCAGCTAGCTCAAAGAAGGCATTCACAAAGAATAAACAGCATTCTTTCTTAACTTCATTTTAAAGTACTATTTAGTGTAAGACCGTACCATATGTTTTTATGTATCGTGTGCTAAAGAATTGGTGAACAGAATTAATTGTAAAAGCTGGAATGCAGCATAAGAGGGGCTACCTTTATGAAGACTGAAGACATGCTAATGTGCTGCTATCTCAATTTTCTTCCAATGGATAGCCAACCCTCTCTTTCTGAATAACTTTAGAATTCAACCACTGTTTCCCATTGCTGGGTGTGACTTCAAGACTGACAAGTTTGAAATACACACGATTTCTTTTAATATGCCTTCAGACATATATTGGAGGATAGACTCGTTAGACTTACTGGTTCATCTTTCAATGAAGTAAGAGGCCCAGTAAGTGTCTTAGACAGAAACAGGGAAATCCCTGTTCTGCCACAGGTTTCCTTGAGCAAGTCACTTAATCATAATACAATGCTATGGAGCGATACAAGAGTATATTAATCTGAAAGCATTGCTCCACTAAGTTGGAGAGATGTTTCCAGCACCCAAACTAACCCATGCATGTATTTCTTCTATGTGGCATTACGTGAAAGGAAGAATCTCTCTGGTGCTGTCTACACTGCAGAACCTGAGACTTTGGGAATGAAAGATGTGTACCTAGCCCATCACAGCCAAGACACTGCTTTGGGCAGCAGTGACAACAGAAGCCCAAATGCATGGGTGCCCTGCAGAATAACCTGCCCAGCAACTCAGTACCGCCTTCTTTGCCTGAATTCTTCCCAACAAGTCTCTCAGATCTGTCATGGTACTAGATGGATTAGAGAGAATGAAGTGCTCAAGTACTATGCTAGCAAGAGCCAGATATTTTCCTCAGATGGATACATAGGTGCTAGAGATGGAATGATTACTTGAGTGGATGGTTCTGATGCATAGCTTCTTTTGGTAGAAATCAGAAAACACTGTTGCACCGAGAAACAGAAAATTAGGTCATTTCTATAAGAGTATCACAGACAACTTGAGTTGATAACCGATCATCTAAAAATCTGCAAGACCATTGCTAGAGAGAGACTCTGATTCAGTAAATAACATTTGTTTAGTGTGAATAAATTGACACCTCCCTCAGCACTGAAATGAACCAAACCATGCTGTTGGTATCTTCACAAGGAGTGGGAACAAAGCAGAATACTTTTTGCTAAAACTGAGAAAGATTCAGAGATATAGTAATCATCATGCTATTAACCATATCTGGATACTTTGCATTAAATCTGTCTCTATGAGAAAGGATAATCACTAGAGCTTTTTTAGTGATGTCCTTAAAGATTATTATAAAGCAATAAACTGCCCTGCCCAGACCAAAGTAGTCTTGGGCAGCCAAGGAATGATGAAGGGCTTAGGGAAACTTTCAATACAAATTTCTCTAGAGGATTTCTGGTCTTTATTGGGATTGTGGTGTCCTGGCACAGTGCTGCAAGAGAACACGAGGTGCTCCGAGGTGTATGCTATGTGCTGAAAGAAATATACTTGAAGTGAAACTTTGGAGATAAAATTGGAAGTTGACATGAAGGAAAGAAAAATCTTGTCACAGAGTGCAGTCAGGAATGAAATCAGTAAGAATTTAGAAAAATAAGATAAAAAGGGATTAAAGACATGAGAGACCTAAATAACAAGTTAAAATTTAGGGATTAATATCGCTGGAAAAACCCTGGATTTATTTTGACAGTACTAGAACCAGGAAGACGGTCGCATTTGCCTTCTATTCATAGCCACTAAACCCCACCAAAACATGGGAACAACCAAATTCTTCATTAATTATATAAGTCTATAAAAGCTCCAGAATTTCAAACATCCCGCTAGTGGGAAAAGTGCTTCAGGTTAAACAATTCATTAAATATTTCTTTAATGGGTGTCCTGCTTGGTTACCACCAACAAGAAAAACATCTTTTTTATGACTAAAATACAAGTAAGGTTTGCATAACCAGTAACTGTGCATTCTTTTAAATGGAAACAAAATAAAGAGCTTTGGTGTGTTTGTCACTGAAAACGGTATGAAAGCATCCTTCTAGTCACATTTTGAGCCCCAGACATTTATTTTAGGGTGGATTATAGTCAAAGTGCTGCCTAATAGTTGTTGCAGTTTTAACAAAAGAATGGTTGATACTCCAGTCTCTGAATTTACTGTGTACAAGGTCTTCCCCATAATAAATAAAACTTAGCAAATCAAAAGCTTTCTGTGAAAGCCAAGAGTTTGCTCAGGCAAAGCAACCAAAAAATTTTGCCAGCAGAAGAGGTGAAAAAAGAGTATTTTAATTATCTTGAAAAATAAGGCTTGGAAAAAGGAACAAGTACATAATAATCCTTGGAAACACTTCTTGTTCAGACAATATATTTTCAAACCCAGAAGCAGAGAAACTGGAACAACAACAGGGGCAGGGAGAGAGAGAGAAAAGGGAGAAAACTTGATAAATGGACAATTGTTCTATTCTAAAAATATGCTATTTAGTTATTTTCTAGCTACCGGATATCAAATATCACCATAGCATACCAGCTGGTTTTTGCTGACAGTCATGGTAGGTTAATATAGTGCCTATTGGCTAATAGAATAACCCTATAAAGCAGCAAGATTTAGCAAGCTGACTAGCATCAAGGAAAGCCTCAGGGGAAGAGTTTGGCATAAAATTCGCCAGCTGCTCCTGACTTAATTTCCTGAAATGGATGCCCACACATGAAAATTATGAAGCAAGGGAAACACAGAACTGAGTAGTATTATCTTGGTCTGTGCTAACAGCAAAACTGGTAATTTTTTCTGAATCAGGCTACAAGAAATTAGATGAGTTATTAAAGGAAACTGTAACCTCAGATGTATAATGGGGAAACTGGTAGTTAATTAATGGAACAAATTAGTGTGTGTAAGACTGACAGATAATTATTTCCCTCATTGGAAGTAACAATTGTATTTTAATAATATATATACAAATTGATAGTAAATATGTGCATACTTTGCATGTATATTTGCAAGCTACAAAGGCAGTGATACACTATTTTATCAGTTGCCACCAGACAACTAGCAGTGTCATCTTTAGCTGCGAAAATGAAAATTACACTGAAATTGTAATAGAACACATGGATTTGGAACAAAACAGAAAAGATGATGTAGGTTTACATATTGCCAATAGAACTGACTGTCCCATTAATTCCATTTCCACAGCCATTTACAACAAAAATTCTCAAATAGCATGAATTTTGCTAATACCATTGAGTTGTGAAAGTATCTTCAGTGGGGCTGCACTAAGCTACTTATATCAATAATGTGAATAGCTGAGGGTGCAGCAGATTATATAGAAATGTATAGCCAAGATTAGATAACATTGGTTAACAAGATCAGTTACTAAAGAGGCCTGCCTTTTAGCCTTCATGTAACCACAGATGATCCTGCAAGAACACTCTATCACCTGTTTTCTTTACAAGTGGCTAACCCCGTTAATGTTTAAGAAACACATTTAATAGTTTTGCTGTTCACATTTACATAGTTTTTACAGCAGATTTTAAATTTTGACAACTGTAAAAAGGTCTGAGAGTTGTGGAGCTACATGAACTTTATTAACAGCTTTTGCAATAAATCAGTGGATTAAAAAAAGGTAGGAAAATTAATAAAATGTCATCTGCTTATATCTTAGTAGTTTAAGAAATAACATGGATGAGTTCCTCTAACTGTATACTGGCAATTTATTACCCTAACTCTGAAAGCAATTATCAAACTAATGGGAGTGATTCGATCCCAATTATGAGCAATATTCTGAACAGTTTCAAAATAGATTCTGGTCATTAGTGGACCAGTTAAGACAATCTTGCTGTGACACATTTTGCACTGAACTTGTGACCAAACTAAACCATTTTTTAAAATTTACTATCTGCCTTTCCGCACACAAAAAAAAAAAAAAACCCTTGGCATTCTTTCATTAATTCGTGTGCCTGGATTCCATATCAACCTGTTTTTTAAAGGACTGCTCTTTACAGAACTGAGATTTCTTTGATCATGGTTTTTCAAGGTTAGGTGGAAGATGTCTGTTTGAAAAGCTTTCCATCCCTCCTAACTGAATGCATTCCAATGATACATTTAATATGCACTACAAAAAGATAACATATGTTTGCAGCTGTAGAAGAAATAAAGTTTACTTCTGTGTTCTAGGCTTAACCTTTCTTGTGGTGCATGGAAACATGAAAGAACATCCAATGTACTTAAACAGTTTCTTACACAGACTTTCTAATATTTATATCCTCAGAACGTTATACTTTATTACGGATATTTGGAAATCAACCACATAAAAAGGTATATTTCTGCTTTTAAAATATATTTAGTTTTACCAAAACTGTGTAAAAAGTATCTTAAAAGCCATCAATGCTTTTGAGAGAAAAAAAAGACAGATAATCCTGTAACTTCCATAAACCATAAAAAAGGCCTCAAACATTGTTTTTCTAATAGCAAATTAATACTTAAAGAACATTTACAGAATAAAAGATTGTGTCCGACATGGAGAAAAAGGGGAAATAACACAGAGAAGCATCCTTCCTTCCATCCACAAGTCCTTCCACTGACTATTTAGTGGAACTTGGATGAGGCCTCGAGATGATAAGTAGAGTATTAACTTAGAAGGAACCAGTCTGGTATCAGTCTAAGTGACAGATTTTCTGTTGAATTCAGTGAGAACTATATCATGCCTATTTTTTTATGTGAAAATCACTCTTTGAGGGAGTCAGTCTTTAGCTTGAATAAGTGTGTGCAGTAATGGAATCTTATTTAAGGTAGGTAAAATAGCCACCCAGTACCTGCATGCATCAAAAAGAAACAAAGGAGCGTTAGACTGCAGATTATAAAATGTTCTCTGAAGAGATTTTCTTTGAAGAAATACAACAAACCGAGAGTCTCATCTGTAACCATTCGCTATGTACTTTAATGAGACAACTGTGCATGAGTAACAGAGTAGTAATTTTACCACCTGAGTTTTGCCCTAGGGCACTGGAGTCCAACATGCAAGCATCTGGCTGTTTGACTGATGATGGGCACAGTTATTTTTTAGGAAACTACTTGTTAAAAAGGTGAAAAAACTTTTGGCATCAAATGGCACCTTGCTTCTGTGCTAGTTTAGGGATTGTCATGGTTTAACCCCAGCCAGCAACTAAGCACTACACAGCCGCTCGTTCACTCCCCCCACAGTGGGATGGGTTGAGATAAAGACAGTTTAATAAGTAAAGCAAAAGCCACGCACAAGCAAAGCAAAACAAGGAATTCACTTGCCACTTCCCACAGGCAGGCAGGTGTTCAGCCACCTCCAGGAAAGCAGGGCTCCGTCACACGTAACCGTTACTTGGGAAGGCAAATGCCATCAGCCCGTTCCTTACTCTTCCTGCAGCTTTATATTCTGAGTATGATGTCATACGGCATGGAATATCCCTCTGGTCAGTCGGGGTCAGCTGTCCCAGCTGTGCCCCCTCCCAACTCCTTGTGCACCCCCAGCCTGCTCGCTGGTGGGGTGGGGTGAGGAGCAGAAAGGCCTTGACTCTCAAGACGGCTCAGCAATAACAAACACATCTCTATATTACCAACACTGTTTTCAGCACAAATCCAAAACATCGCCCCATTGTAGCGACTATGAAGAAAATTAACTCTAGCCCAGCCAAAACCAGTACAGGTATCAAATGGGCATGACAGCTTGAACTTGATGATTTATCATTTCATAGTGTTATGCTGATGTCAGTCAAGTTGGTCTTGCAGGTTTTGTGGTTCAAAATTGTACTTTTGTTTCCTATAATGCCCTGCTCTGCTGACACGTAACAACCAAAGTCTTGCATCCTATCCATATACCACTTCCATAAAGAAGGCATTAAGTCATTTGCCATTAAAACCGATAATTTCTAGAGCTGACAGATAAACCAGACATGGAATTTCAGAGTAACAGAGCAGTGGTTTAGCTTAGATTTACTTTTAAATTTTAAATCTTCCTCCAGAGGCTATAGCAAAAGAATTGAGGAATGGCAGAAATGCTCATTAAGATTCTAAATAAAAACTGAAAAGGCAGAATACTCTGCTACAAGATTGAAAGAAATGAAATTTTAATGTGGACAAAAATGGCTTTAAAAGTGTTTATTCATAATTTAATGCATACTTTGAAAGTGATGACAAAAGAATTCTCTTGTACTTACTAGTTAACATGTTAAGTAATGGCAAAAGAGTAATCCCAAGCATACCAAACTGAAAATGGCCTCTGTAAGAGCAAAAATGGATCAGATGATAGTCATAAAAATTGAGGTCTGTGCACAGAAGAAAAATCATGATGTTTGGCACCATTGCCTTTCTCAAAATACTTCTAAAACAGTAAAACTTACTGTCCTGGTTTTGCCTGGGA